AAGTTTCCCTAAGACCGAAAACGGGTGTTTGATTGTAAAGATGTGTAAGTTTCCCTAAGACCGAGAACGGGTGTTTGATTGTAAAGATGTGAAAGTTTACCTAAGACCGAGAACGGGTGTTTGATTGTAAAGATGTGTAAGTTTCCCTAAGACCGAAAACGGGTGTTTGATTGTAAAGATGTGTAAGTTTCCCTAAGACCGAGAACGGGTGTTTGATTGTAAAGATGTGTAAGTTTCCCCATAGACCGAGAACGGGTGTTTGATTGTAAAGATGTGTAAGTTTCCCTAAGACCGAAAACGGGTGTTTGATTGTAAAGATGTGTAAGTTTCCCTAAGACCGAGAACGGGTGTTTGATTGTAAAGATGTGTAAGTTTCCCTAAGACCGAGAACGGGTGTTTGATTGTAAAGATGTGTAAGTTTCCCTAAGACCGAAAACGGATGTTTGATTGTAAAGATGTGTAAGTTTCCCTAAGACCGAAAACGGGTGTTTGATTGTAAAGATGTGTAAGTTTCCCTAAGACCGAAAACGGGTGTTTGATTGTAAAGATGTGTAAGTTTCCCTAAGACCGAGAACGGGTGTTTGATTGTAAAGATGTGTAAGTTTCCCTAAGACCGAAAACGGGTGTTTGATTGTAAAGATGTGTAAGTTTCCCTAAGACCGAGAACGGGTGTTTGATTGTAAAGATGTGAAAGTTTACCTAAGACCGAGAACGGGTGTTTGATTGTAAAGATGTGTAAGTTTCCCTAAGACCGAAAACGGGTGTTTGATTGTAAAGATGTGTAAGTTTCCCTAAGACCGAGAACGGGTGTTTGATTGTAAAGATGTGTAAGTTTCCCCATAGACCGAGAACGGGTGTTTGATTGTAAAGATGTGTAAGTTTCCCTAAGACCGAAAACGGGTGTTTGATTGTAAAGATGTGTAAGTTTCCCTAAGACCGAGAACGGGTGTTTGATTGTAAAGATGTGTAAGTTTCCCTAAGACCGAGAACGGGTGTTTGATTGTAAAGATGTGTAAGTTTCCCTAAGACCGAAAACGGATGTTTGATTGTAAAGATGTGTAAGTTTCCCTAAGACCGAAAACGGGTGTTTGATTGTAAAGATGTGTAAGTTTCCCTAAGACCGAAAACGGGTGTTTGATTGTAAAGATGTGTAAGTTTCCCTAAGACCGAGAACGGGTGTTTGATTGTAAAGATGTGTAAGTTTCCCTAAGACCGAAAACGGGTGTTTGATTGTAAAGATGTGTAAGTTTCCCTAAGTCCGAAAACGGGTGTTTGATTGTAAAGATGTGTAAGTTTCCCTAAGACCGAAAACGGGTGTTTGATTGTAAAGATGTGTAAGTTTCCCTAAGACCGAGAATGGGTGTTTGATTGTAAAGATGTGTAAGTTTCCCTAAGACCGAAAACGGGTGTTGGATCGTGAAGCGAGAGTCACCAGAGCGTGAGGCACGGTAACGGTATAACGAGACAGCGGTGGCACTATAGCGCGGTAATTGAGCGGATGGTAGAGCTCGGGCTGCACCCGGTAAACTGCATTGTTGCCTCTTCTTTGACAGACAATCTAAATTGTACGTTTTGGCGAAGGCTCCAGTCTGCATATGAAAACATGACTCTAAATTCTATTTGTAGATGGTCTGAACACCTCCGCAAATCTTTGAATGACTGTTATTACATTGCTGAATACTCTAAATTACCTGTTCCTGATCTGTATAATATGTCTGGTTTAGATTGTCGTGTGAAAGCCTGGTTGGTCTCCTTTGACTATAATGATTGGTTAACTGGTCTACGGAATGCCCGGTGTCATGGCAACAAGCTTCGTACCTCCAGACACTTCGTCTGTATGTCAGTACAATCATGAATAGGTCACAACGCAGTATTTTAAGTAACTTTCGCTGTGGTACTCTCCCTTTAGAAGTCGGGGTTATTAGGTTCAATCGTCCGAAGACTCCTTACAGGACAGAGTATGTTGGCTTTGTAACACGAACACTGTCGAGGATGAAACTCACTTTCTGATCAGCTGTATTTATCTCTGTTGGATCTGTCATAACGACTGATTTACGACTACCATTGTCTGAAGTTCATTTGACTCCAAAGGCTAATTACCCTGTAGCCATGACATGTATATGTCACCATAACTTAATTGTCATTAAGTTTTAGGCGCTAATCCCCGTTGTTAATCCTCACCAACATTTCATTGTATATTGACTGACAGCCAACCTGAGCTACTTCTTAATCACTTCCCGTTAATTGCTGTTATTTATAGTATGACATTTATTGCCTTAATTGTTTGTGCTGATCAGATTGTCATTCTCATGCGGAACGAGAGGTTTGTTAAACCCCTAGCTGCAGTCAATAATGTTTTGACGTCGAAAAGACACATGTATGCATACTTTTTAACCTGACTCTGTAACATATGTGCAAACAAATGGTTTTAACTTTCAATTTTAATAATGTTTTGATATGTCATACAGTAGAATACGTTTATAACGAACTGACGGATATTACGAACTTAAGTCTTGGTCCCTGCCATATGCTGAATATGTATATGTTGTATATACGCTTATAACCAACTGCGGTTATAACGAACTAAAATATGTGGTCCATTTGAGTTCGTTATAACCGTAGTTTACAGTTTTCCTATTGACCAGGTGTCCGTAATTTAATGTATACTGTCATATCAACGTAAGTATCGTGTATTTACAGGCACATGGCATCTTAATAAATTACTTTCTTTTCTTTATATCTAGGAGCAATCGAACATCGGTGTGTCGAACGCAAAGGGACACTAAGCAAAGGTTGAATCTATCGGATGTTCGACACATCCGAAACACTTTCCCAACATCCAAAGAATGATATGTTACTTGCTTTTATCATTTGGGAAAAGATTCGAAAATACTCAAGAAATTTCGGGAAATATATTTGTTTGTATAAAATCCCACTTGAAACTAAGAAGTGATTAGGCAATATTACCGTCCTGGGGTCGAAGAGTAAACCCCATAGTGAAAAACATACGGCAAGAGAAACACCCGAGATGCAGCCTAGCTCGGACAATATCCCTCACTAAAGCCACAGGGCACATGAACTCATCTGAAGTTACAATTTTGATTCAGCTACCAGAAAGGCTTACACTTGAACTTTAAAAACTCCCCAAGTTGCACTGCTTTAACACCAGAAGTCATTGAAAAGGAAAAGCCAAGAGATACAATAGCGAAGGTCAAACTAACTCTATATCTGAAAGATAGTCAGCTACTCGATCATGGATTAACAGAGCAGCCTAAGAAATTCTGTCAATTTCTACAAATAAAAAAATCTAACCATATCAATATGAAAATAAGAATCTTATCAATACAAAAACGGCATTTTGATGGCTACAGGTACAGAGCGAATAAGAAGAGAGAAGACAAGACCTTCCTGAAGTGTGTCGAGTCTCTTTGTAATACCTATCATGAAAGAAGACAACTTACTACACAGAGATGAAACACCATGACCTAAACCACCTGTTCCTTTTGCATTTAAGACCAAGGTGGTTAATCGATTTGATTTATTATAATGACAGAGACAAGAACTCCCATTCCTAAGATACTTGAAGACGAAATACCCAACTTTAGGAAGAACCACGACGTTGTTCCAGATGGCCCACGTGGAGAGGTCCTCACATCCCACGCCCTCAAGACAACCCTGTACCCCAACGCCACAAGCCTGGACCGAGTGCAGATCGACTTGGAAGATCAGTGGACCCACATTGAGGCAGGAGAGCGGTCCCTTCACGGGGTAGAAGGCAAAGAAGTCACTATGCTCTTCATGAATGACATGAACAGTGAAGGTTTATTAGACTCACAGACACTGTACGAGGATGGAACGTTCTGACCTGCAACCGAGTAGATTGAGCAGCTGTGTACTAACCACGTGATGGTCCACGAACGAGCAGAGCTCGTCCCACGGGAGTGCCAAAAACCTATGATATGATGACCACTTTGGTAAAACTCACGAGCACGGGTATGGTACTGACAAAACCAAGAAACTTACTCGCAGGGAATCTCAGATGCGAACCATCAATCATAGGTTTCTTGAACGCCTTAGAGAGACAACTCTGCTCAAGGCAGGGAAGTGCGGCGCAATAAACGACTGTGTTATTCGGTATGCTTTTGTACTGTACTGAAGACAAATTATTTTTGCACTTTTGATAAATATAGCATTTAACACATAAATCATATGATTGTAATACCGAATAACTACTGATCGACCTACCTGGGGTTTGAACTATTTCATTGATAATATATTCTATCTGCAATTTCAATTTCGAAATGATTAGATTGGTCCCACGAGCGTGTATAAGCAACACTGTCGATGACACGTGACAGTTGTATCAGCTTTTGTGCTAACAGACTCACAATGTACTTTACATCCAGTCGCAGGAATGAAGCTGGAATTTTTTAACAGGGTCCAGGGACTCAATATTGGATTCTCATGTCTGGACTGGCAACTTTTTAAACAAACTGGCCATTGCTATTCCGACTACCTAGTTAGAGGGGCGGTCGGGTAGCCTAGTGGTTAGTGCGTTCGCACGTCACTCCGAAGACCCGGGTTCGATTCACCTTTCTGGTGTTCCCCCTCCGTGACATTGCTGGAATATTCACTCTGATTGGAATAATCTGAACACGTTCACATTTCGATACATATCTTAAACATTCACAAACGTTTAGAAACAGAAATACATGAACATTATTTCCGCTTGTCCAACTAATATTTTACCAAGAATTATCTCTAATTTTAAATAACTCGTCTTTATTTTAACTTCTTGAGAAAATAAACAAACAATAAATGATAAATAGAAATAAAATAAATATATATATAAAGCCTTATTCTGATATTTCCACAACCATAAATAACCTCGTGGACAATTACTGCTACCCTCCAATCACATACCCCCGAACACCCTGTAAAATATGCCGAAATGTACCCAACCACCCACCCCTTCTCCAACTCGGGTAACCTCTGCTCATGTGACGGGAAATAAATCGCCTCTTATCTTGTTCTACGTTATGTGTGGCATACAGACAGCGTGTGATCAAGTACTTGGCCAACACTACATGTTCATAAGCATAATCGCATTGAGGGCGAGGAGCATTCGACAGAACGCTATGCTCCAGTCACTATGAGTATGTTATTGTACTGTTGAAGCACGGCAACGGTCGAGCTGTCAACTATGTCGTCCTTTCTGCATTCTGTTAGGCTTCAGGGGAATAGGACACCGTCGCAGATCCGTCTTCAACAAGACAGCATTGAGATATAGGAATAGTGGGATTTATCTCAAAGGATTTATTCGATATCGTAACGTTTATGAGTCCATTACGTCAACTGAATTCAACCGGATTTCGAATTCAAGAGAAACCAGAGGATTGTATATTTTACGTACAGACAAGCCGTGGTTCGTTGTTAACTTGATATTTTCAGTCCATGTCAACAGTGTTGAACTGGATATATATTGACTCTTATGCAGATTGTTTGAGGTTTGTAAAAATACTTTCCGCGGTCGATCTTCTCAGCTACATTTGAATTTTTGCGACTTTTAATAGTTATGATTTGTTCACGATCGCTGAAGCGACGTTTGCCCCGAATGAAGAGCATTTGCAGGAAGAAAATAATTTGGCCTTTATTATGTGTCCTGTGTGTTATTGTACTTGTGTGGACGACGGAAGATTTGGTGTTGCCGTTTCAAAGATTTCAGTCTTTTGGGCCGGTCCTAAATCACAAGTGGACATCGGTCAAGGGTTCGGATCTCTATGTCTTCAGCGCTTATTTCACTGGGCGTGACAACTTGGTGAGAATCGTCAGCTTGGGCCCGACCGTGAGCACGGCTCGTGTGACATGTTCCTATTACTTTCTGGATGACGTCACAGACAAGGTGGAGGCTAGGGATGAAGGTGTGGCAGGATCCATCCATCAAATGAGAGATCATCATGGGATGAAGTAAGTATCATCATCATCATCATCATCATCATTATGATATTATTATTATTTCATGTTTACTGAAATCATAGTATTGATTATAATGTAAGATTTTCTCGGACTCAGAATACCCCGTCCTATACGAATACTAATTGAGAAGAGACTCGAGTGCTTTACATTAAAATAGGGGTAGCGCAAAAAGGTATGGCTGACTCATTCAATGTATCAACATTATATAGTTACCTTAATTTCTATTCTGGGTAAGAAATACACTCAAAGATCAGGGCGTCAGTGGTGAAAGTTCTTCAATCTAACATAATATCCCACTTATAATAGTCTTACAGACCAACCCTGACTATAAATAGCCCGAAGCTGGTGGTGTTTAAGTTTCAAACATCGGCTGACAACGTAAACACAACGCAGTGTCGAGAAACACCTTTTGACAATAGTACGCAAACTAGATATCAGCTTCAATGACAAATATTGGATTCAACAAATGGCCCATATCTGGATATAAGTCAATAAGTTTTATGCAATTTTATCATAAAAGATCCAAACGTGTTTGAGTATCTGCATCAATCAAAGTGGGCGGAGCTTATTTAGAGTTGCGCTTTAAATAGCAAAACACATGGTTATGTGAACACGTCACAGCAAGATAGCACAGTTTCGGTAAATGTAACAGTACCGTTATACGAAACTGACGTTGCATTTGTATTAGTGACAAGATTCTTTCAGTTCAATTACGAAATGACGTACATATTTGTTTAGGTTTGGGTGCTTGCGTTAAACTTTATCATATCACACAATATTCTGATTACCTGTTTCAAAACATCAAATAACAAACATTTTGTCTGGACATTCAACTACAGTTTTGGAACAGATTTAATTTGAAACACCAGAAGTTGCGCCAATTTGTCTTACCTTGACAACAATCATGTCACGTGTATCAACATAACAATGCACATAACAAACTAATAAAAAGTGTAATGAAAAAACAAGATGTTTTGACCTAATTAGCTAAATAATGTACTTACGATAAAAGAAACATTCAATACATATATTCCAAGATACAGTAAACTACGGCTATTACGAACTGAAATAGACCACTAATTTTGGTTCGTTATAACCGAAGTTCGTTATAAGCATATATACAATATCTATACAGCAAATGGCAGGGAACAAAAATTAAGTTCGTAATACCCGTCATTCGTTATAAGCGTGTTCCTTATAAACGTATTTTAGTGTAATTTTAATTACGGATTTCCTTTTGTTTCACATAATTTTCACACACAAGACTTAACAAAACATAAGTAATTTGAGTGTTTTCTTTTCATCAACGAACAAAAAATTATGATCAAATGAACAAATGATAACATTATTAAGACAATATCGGACTACATGCCACTCGACGTGAAGTGCCTCAAGTCAACAATGACCATTACTGGAGATTGTGTGCCGGGAAATGTGACTTAATCTTGTTAACTTTTCGGGATTTCATTTTGGAGGTTCATAAACTACTTAAAGTTTTTTAGATTTAGAAAGCTGCGCTGTGTCACACATGGTTGAAACAAGCAGTGGGAACAAACATCTCCGCCTACATCTGGCTCCACAATGAAGTCTGGCTGTGACACTGATCTACGAATCCCAAGAATCGGAACTGAATGTGTCCAAGTTTCTGTTGCACCTGCAAGGGCGCGAAGAGAGGCGCATCATGTTAGATGCTGTTAAAATATTAGAAATTTCGAATACTTCAGGTTTTGAGTTAAGTGCTTAAATGGTAGGATCTCCAGTCGGTTTATCTGATTACTACAAGTGTGGCGTGGGAACCCGTTAGGGCCGTGTTTTGATCACAAAATTATTTTTGATCTTTCTAAATGAATTAATATTTTATCTGGAGGAGAATGGTGGTGAAGGAATCTTTATATAAGCTGCCTTTACAAATATTTGCATCGCTACATGCTACGTACTGCTTTACAACTACAAAGGAAAATAAATGTGATGGAAACAGTTTGTAATTCTCAAACCAAAATAATTGTCTTTAGGCGAGGGGGCATTTAAGGAACAATGGGAAATGGACAAATAACGACACACATTTAGACGTTGTTAGCTTCTACAGATATTTAGTGATTGTTTCACCCCCAAATTATCACGGAGTAAAACCTTCAGCTGTTTCACATCATTATACAAACAAATTTGGATATATATCATATGAAGATATATTCGACAATGTGATAGTCCTAATATTGTGTTATGGTGCTGAAATAGTGTGAACATCATTAACCACAAGAAGTTATACAGATTTCATTCTGCAAAAGATTCTTCACATCCAATAAGAATACTCCTAATAACTACTATCAACAATATGAACCACTTCTTAATGTTGAATCATATCTAACAACAAACATACCTCAATATATTAAGTGGCATTTGTCAAAATTTAGATGTTATAATCTTAGATATTCTAAGATTGGAAGGCACCATAATAGTCCTGATGATGAGAGATATTGGGAATTGTTTCTGAAATCTAAGAATTTTGTAGAAGATGAGTAGCAGGTGATGATAATTTATCAAGACTACTTTCATCGAAGAATATCCACCAACTGAAAATATTATCAACCTCGTGAAATCAACTGATAAACTATATTTATAACGATGGACTATATTTAACTGAAACATATGCAACGAGAAACGAGAAAATACTGGTTTAATATGTTTTTTAAATACACTTTTATCGTTCATAACCCAAAGTGGCACATTAGGTATTACAAATAACCATGATTCTGTTGTATTGGACGCATGTATTGGGTTGAGTCTCAGATAAATACCTACTGTCTATCTGTCAGTCCGTCTGCCTGTCGGTACGTCACATAACTCCTCCTGACAGTGTTACAGGAGACTACCGTTCAACCACAAGAACATCTATGTTAATATATTCGTCGATTTTGCACATCAAAAGCCAAAGTACAGCAAAATAAATGACGCATTTATCAAAGTTATCTGATATCAAGTGTTTTCTCCAACAGACGTGCTAGATTGGTTTTGTTTGGAATGAATATGTTTAAAGCAGTTCTGCTGTGGATTGATTAGCATCACTGCTGAAAATCAAATGACGAATTTTTCGTATACATGTTTAATATTGAAATGGTTAATATTTTCAGCTAAATAAATATGCAGACATACTATACAATTCGTGTTCGTTGAACATTCCCTAATACCGTGACTGCGAAAGCTCTTGTCATAACGCCACAACGCCTGACTGGTTCAATCATGCTATACGGTGAGCTGTATTATGTACTCCTGCAAAATAACGAATAGAATAGGACCAAGCTCTGATCCCTTCGGGACTCCAGCATTTACAAGTATGAGCTTGGAAAGCGTTTGTTTAACAAAAGCCTTTTGAGATCTTTCGCTCAGTAGCTTGACAACCATTGATTCACATACCAATGCATATAACAATCATTTCGCGCCATACAATTTCAATTCACACAGTCGCCGTCTGTACATTACGCCAGAGACCATATATCGGTATATGGTCTCTGATTACGCGTTAAAATTGTGTGCAATCACCCTCGTATTCCGACGTATTCTGCTGTGGGAGGAAAACTCAAAGTGACAGTACAGAACTTTATTACTCTCAAGGCTAATATGTACATTACATGTTGAGGATTTACTGAAGATTTGGCGACTAGAATATTTATCCATTACTATTTTACAATATTTGGCTAGTTTCTCTTCTAGGAGTTAGTTTTACATTTAAAAAGCTGGATAAGTTTATACATTAATGTTAAGAATAGTTGTCTGATGGAATTATAATATTAACATTTAAATATAAAATAATTTCGTGAGCAATGTCCTGACTATTACATAAAGTGCTTTTCCTATCTTCTAAGGTGTATTGACCCATCTTCCACTCTCGATGGGTAAATAATGACAAGATGTTGCAATCAATAACAAGGACATGTGCTGGTTTGATCTTTTTTGTTGGGTTTTGGGGTATGGGATTTTTGTTAGATTTGTTGTTTGTCTTTTGTTTTGTTTTGTTTTTGGTTGGGTTTGGGGGGATTTTGCTTGTTGTTTTTGTTTTGCTTGTTGTTGCTTCTTTTCTCTTTTTTTGCGTTTTTTTTTTTTTGGAGGGGGTGGGGGGGGGGGGGTGGGGGGGGGGTGGGCGCGTAAATTAACTACATTATGTTTCTAATACAGTGTTATCCTTCATACATTATAAGAATCTCGCTCTGCTCAAATTTGAAATATCAGAGATATATTTTTTGTAAAAAGATTGGTCTTCAAGACATGATCTGATCAGATGCTCAAGCCAACTTCAGTCCAGATGTAAATATTACCAGTTATGGTTAGAATATTTTCCACAAACAACCGCTTTTGGTGCACATTTTTCACAGTGAAGTTATTATACATATTATAAACCAAAAGTAAGTGACAATTTTCAGCAATTCCAGATAAAAGTAAAAAGATAAAAAGTAAACGGATGATCGTGGGTTCGAATCCTAAATTCGAGCTGATAATGTTTCTTGAATTTTGTGTCTCATCAAAGGAGTACGACATGCATCACATCGGTCCTTCCTCCTATATCACGCCGTATAATAACTGGATACTGTCCATACTGTTCAAAGTAACGACAAACCCCACTAACTCACTCACTCAAACCGTCTACACCATTGAAGAAACCATATTCGTAACTCTGTTGAGATAAATAAAACAACACCAAAAACAGACAAATCAATTGATTGAGCGAATGTAGTGTTGTGCCGCGTTTAGCAATATTGAACAATATCTCGATGTGGGACATCATAAATTGGCTTCACAAATTGTACCCATGTGGGGCATCGTGCCTTGCAAGAGACGATCGAACACTATAATCACTACCATAAAAATTTATTGAGATTTCAAACCCAAAAGGTTTGTGTAAATCAAGAGGCCCTCTGCCAAATATCTAAGGTCTGTAGTTCTCACTCAGGGCAGATAGTCGCTACAGGCCCAAAGATCCGAGTTCGTGTGAGATGCGTCACCGACTTAAAACTTATCATTCTCTCTTACATCCATCTCGCATTCAGTGAAACAAGTCGACACAAATCTTTGATGCTAACATTTATTGTTTGTTTATTGTTTAACGCCGCACTCAGCAATATTCCAGCAAAATGACGACGGTCTGGAAATAATCGAGTCTGGATCAGACAATCCAGTGATTGACATCATGAGCATAGGTCAACGCAATTGGGATACGATGACATGCATCAACCAAGTTAGCGAGCCTGACTACCCGATCCCGTGTGTCGCCTCCTACGAACAAGCATGGGCTGCTGAAGGCCTATTCTACCCCGGATCTTCACGGGTGGATGCTAACATTCTTTATCTACCGTCAGATACCAAAAGAGGACCCGAGAAAGCCCCTTAGCGGTCATATGATGAAAGGCATTTACTATTGGCTTTAAATCTGGAACTTTCTGCCTACTTATTCGTTTTTCTCAAGGTATTGCATAATCTGACAAAAAGGTTGACAGAAGTGTCTTTTGTAGGTATTTTTCTTTCGTTTTAGAAGGCAATGTTATCTTATTACAAAATTTAAGCATCCTTTGCATGCGTATCCCACCCTATTGAATAATACTGCTCATGTTATCGTGTTAAAGTATAAATCTAAATCACTTGGTGACATTATTTCAACAAAAATATGTATTTAATCATGTTTGGCTACCAAACACAAATTGTTGCATTATAAGCGCAGCGCCCTTTTCCTAAAGAAAAAACGGCCACCCTTAACCAAAAGGCTGTATTTGCGCTTTTATTCCAATGGAGATTTAATACACTGGATAATCCGGGACCTTCTGACCTAATCAATGTTGTCAATTCTTATTTCAGATTCAACAACCTTGAAATAACCTGTCCTTTGAAGAAGGGGAGTTATCCACATTTTGTTGGGCTTTCTGGAACAAGAACATCGCCAAAGAATTACTTGAAGATCAACTACCCACCCACACAAAGTTTCAAAGCAGAATTCACCGTCTGCATACCTGCGATACACTCCAATTTCAGCGGGATGACAGAAGTCGTGCAAACTCTGGAATTTGACCAGATGTTGGGAGCACGGGACTTCACAATCTATTACACTTCTGCTGCACCGGAAGTAGATGCTGTTCTGCGCATGTACAGAGACAGAGGGGTCGTGAAAGTAGTTCCGTGGTATCCACCGGATGTTGATGTACATTATCATGCGCAGATTGCTTCAGTTCGAGATTGTTTCTACAGGAACATGCATACGTCCAACTACATTGTGTTCAAGGACCTTGATGAGATCTTATTACCACACAAACACCGAACGTGGCAGCAACTCTTGGACTACATCATGGAACGCCGCCCACATGCAGGGGCATTCGTTTTCCGGAATTCTTTCTTGCACAAACTCGGCCCAGACATCACTGATGGCATGGGGAACGTCGATATTCAAATTTCAAAAACATTCGGCCTCTACACGCTCCTGAAACGGCAGCGTCAAACAGTGATTTGGAAATATAACATGCGTGCTAAATTCATTGTTAACCCCATGAGAGTGCATAATGTTGAAATACACGAGGTGAAAGATTTAATGAAAGGATATAGCCGTGAAGTGGTGAATGAATCACTGGGTCTACTTTTTCACTATAAACAATTTGTTGATGCAAAGATCAAGACCGTGAAGGATTCGGCGGCACTTCGATATCGTGAAGAACTGATAAACAGAGTCAAGGAGATATATCACATTTTGAATACACAGTACCAAAGAAGCACATTTACGCAATTGAGGCTTCTCCGTTAGAAAGTTAATGTTTCTTCTGATTACATGTCAAAACCAGGGTAGATAATTACGACTTTGAAAAGGCAATGCACAGAACTAATGCGAGTGAAAGTATTATTGTTGCCGGTTACGGATCGGATTATCTCTGTGAAAATGAAACATTTGACACTTGTTTCCATATAAACTGTATAGTGTGATCTCAGGCGATACGATTCGCCATGCAGAGTTGCGTCCCTTGATAGCTACTTTGTCCGCCTCCAGCAATAATCCACCTATATGGCGACGGTCTACAATTATAATGACTGGATTCCATCGGGATCGTGTGCCATTATGTTTAAAAGATATGCATATATATTTAGTGAATATTTAATTCTAATTGCATAAAAAACAGCACATACTAGTAATAAAAAGATATTCGTCCTCTATACCTCGGACACATAAGGGGCAGTTTATCATTCATACATCAATTTGTTTGTCACCTATCTTCCTTATTTCTCAACCGCAAGAGTCCCTCTAAAGTCTTAATACCGTAATTGTTGTTTATTTGTTGTTTTACGCCGCACTCAGCAATATTCCAGTTATTTGACAGCGACCGTAATTGCATAAACATACGTTTCTGATTCTGGGAAACTTTTAAATTCAGTATAAAAATTCCAGATGTTAACCAAAGATTTAGCCATCTGAGCTAGCGTTACCGGCTGGTTCTAGTCCTGTCGTAAATTTGTTCCATCACATCCCAGACATGTTCTATATGGGGGCGAAGTCTGGAGAAACAGCCGGCCATTGCAGTACAGAAATGCTATGCTGCCTCAAAAAAAATCGGGCGGGTATTATCTTTGCTGCAACGTGACAATACACCCCTGCATTCGCACAAAGGGTAGAACATGATATCAAACGATGTCCTCCCGGTAGCGTACGTCGTTCAAATTGCCATTAACAATGATGAGTTGAATTCTCCTGAGATGTGACACTTCCACCCACAAACTGTCGACGTCGCTAAAACGTTCTTTTAGACACCAGTAGAACCTTGCATGGCTATTGGAGCTGTCCAGATGAAACCTGGACTCCTCCGTGGACAGTATGCTGTCCCAGTCTTGTCTTCTGAACCTCAGATGCTGTCTACACCACGCTAGGCCTGCCTGACGGTGACGTGGAAGCCATATTGGGCGTATCGCATTACGCCAGGGGCGGAAGTTATGCTCCCTCAATCGTATCTGTACGGTTCTGACAACACTTGGTTTCAACCAAGGAATTGTCCAGCTGTTAGGTTTCCATTCCGATATTGTGATTCGATGCCTGGCAGGTCGTTTTAAGCCATTCCTGTCTGCAGCATACCCGCAGCGCGTCGATTTAAAACAAGCCCTGGCTCTGCATAAGCATTCTTTATGGCTAGACAATGGTGTTTTTATGAGCATTCATGGTGTCCGACTGTACAAGGTGAAATGGGGTTTAACGTCGTGTCCAAGTTTATCGCATTTATATACCGACATGCATGCACGTGTTTGTGTGGCTGCTTATACTAGTCCAGACTGATGCCGATTTATAGTGCTAGCTCACTGAGATACCATGCCGCAGTTTAACATGAATAATCCACTCAGACACAGTATACTGACCCCGAGCCGACCAGTCCTTGTTTTAGCCCCTTAATGCCTAGCGCCAGGCAGGGGAACACCAAGTACCATCTTTTGACGTCTTTTGGTATGACGCGCCCGGGGATGGAACCCCGGACCTTCCGCACTCCGGGCGGACGCTCTGGTCACTACAAAATGGCGAACGCACACGTCAACACCAGCTTTATCTTTCATTCTCGTGGTGGACGACGCTCGATAGATTCCGGCTACAAGCATGGAATTAAAACTACCAAATGTGACAGTATTCACTGGAAGTGTTGTCACACAGGTTGCCCACCAACAGCCAACACAACCCACGACATTGAGGCAACCACAAACATGCTTCAAAACGCTATGTATTAAATCACACCCTTTCATATATTAGTTCACAACTGACACTGTGTTTGAATATGGTGATACCATATGTTTAGTACAGATTCTCGTACATTTTTGGTGTTGAGTCCCGTCCGAGATTCGAACCAACAATACCAGAGTGAGGCACCTAATCGCCAGCACACAAAGTCAGCGATCTCACCCACTCAGCCACCGAGGCTTCCACAAAAATGAAAATCCAGCAATGGTAGACTAGATCACATACTTTGAGTACCCCTCTGACAAGTCTCTCCCCTTGTTGGTGAGTCGCAGTGATGCTCTGTATTATATATTTTGTATTATGGTTTATGTACAATGAGAAATGTCCATTGTATCCATTGCATTGCACCACAATTTCCAAATAATACTTAAAAAATATATGCATAAATAAATATTGAAATTTAACAACGTTACCAATCCAGATCAACTTTAAATAGTGACGTTGTTGCTTTAAGTGTTTAAGAGGTCGCCCTCTGTCTCAGCAATTTCGGCTGACCTGTCCCTCTTTGAAACTCATATGTATGAGTAGGGTGCACACATCTATTGCGAGTTTAGATCAAATTTCTGTTTTTGTATTGATGAGATTTCTGTTTTCGTATATTGAAAAGATTTCATAGTTTATCTTTCAGCTCTCTGTTTATATACGTTCGAGTAGCTGTCCATCTGTAAGAAATAGAGTTACCTCGGCCGTCGCTATTGCATTTCTTGGCTTTAGGAGATCTATGTCAGATAGCGGATCTAACTGCAATTCTTGTTTTAACGGAGGCGGGCTGGGGCGTGGTCTTGACATTCCTGTAACAAATGCGCAATGGATTCAGGCTGATTGCAAGATGGGCATACCTTGTGATAGTGCTTTCTGTGACCGAGTCTGAGGTCCGAGATGGCTACTTCAGCTGTCCTTTCATTTAAGTATGAGTATGGCTTTTGGTGGATCTTGGGTTGAATGTTGTATAGCCATCTGTCGATCTAACTTGCGTCCCACTGGGCTTGCCATCCTTGGGCTATAGAGGGTCTGACATTTCATTGTATCTCTAGATGCTGATGGCTTGTAGAGCACTTTGCGAGTCTGATAATATGTCCGCCTTTGCTTCCGGTAGTTCCGGTATGGGTTTGAGTGCATGATGAATTGACTCCAATTCTTTTAACAAACTTTTATATCTTCTTCAAAATGTTGGAATATTAGGGGAGATGTGACAGAGCATTAAGAGTTTGTATTTAGTAATTAGATCTTGTCTTGAGACAAATGAAGGATTTACAGATTTATGTGATTGTCCTGTGGGATTAAGACAAGGGCGTGTCCTAAGTCCAATTCTGTTTGCTACCATCTATAAATGAAATAGCTACAGAAGTTGTTGGTTCATGTGATAGGGGTGTTCAGTTACAGCCAGAGTTATTGGTGTTATTTCTATTACTCTTTGCCGACGATGTGGTTCTTATTTCAGGCAGTGTGTGTGGCACAAGTATTGCAAGTCTTGGTCATTTTCTGTTATATGTCAAAATCAAAAATAGTTGTATTCAGGGGTGGAAGATTGCAAGAGCGGACAGATTGACATGTGGTGACTGTTATGTCGAAGTTTTTAACAATATAATTATCTTGGCATTAAAAAAGTACTCACGAGTCAGTTAGTCTTTCTCAAAGTTGTAAATACGTTGCCATGAATGCCAAGTGAGCATTATTTGAAGTGCTGAGGACTACGTATTGTTATGACCAATTTTCATACAACGTGTGCCTTAAGAGTTTTGATTCTCAAATAATGCCACTTTTACATTGTTGTTCGGAAATGTAGGGATACCTAAGACAGGGGTGCACAGAGAGGGTGCATTATATTGCTTGTGAACGTTTTCTGAATATACCTAAGACAACTCCAAATGCTATGGTTTTGGGAGAATGTGAAAAATTCCTTATATATTTAAATTCTTTATGTAGGTGTATTACGTTTTAGAAAAGGATTATACATGTGCCTGCCACTAGATATACTCGTAAAGCATATGAAATATTATGTCTTGGATTATGCTAATCGTCATACGTGGAATGTGTTGTTTCGATTCGGTTTTGGCTTTGCATGGATCTTCCAGGAAGTGGGCAGTGTTCAAATATTTCTGATGGAGTGGTAAAGTAGTCTACAATCCAGTACTAGATTTGTACTCGGCATTTAAGTTTAAGTTAGAACCTAAGTTGCATACCCACCGCCAAAGAAACGAAAACCATAGAAACATATAGAGTACTATGTACGTTAAGAAGAGGCTTCCAATGTGTACCACTTTATGACATAACTTACAATCAGCCAGTGTTACTACAGTGTGGCCTTATTCTTATCACGATATGCTGAAAGTGATTTCCAAACCTTAAACGCTAATCCTGCACGAGACAAATGGTGCATCTCGAGTCATGGATCTCTGACGTCACATGTGATGCATTCATGACCGTCGGTTCACACAACATACCATTATGTTCTTGTGCATCGAACAAATCTAATATTTCTTGACTATGAGTAATTCTTCATATATTACAACATGTATAGTATTCGTGTTTTCTTTTGTCTGTGAGTATATATTACAGTTCCTTCGTTTGCTGGGGGCACGAGTGGCCCAGTCGTCTAAGGCGCCGCGATTCGCTGTGCAGAGTTGCATCCCTTGAACACGCCAGAAACCTATGATTGTGGGTTCGAATCCCGGTACGCCCCGGTTATGTTTCTAGGTTTGTCAGCACCATACCCGTGCTCTTGGGTTTCACCGAAGTGGTAAACGTCTGAGACCTGCCTAAGGGACGCAACTCTGCACAGCGAATCGCGGCGCCTTAGGCAACTGGGCCATCCGTGCCCCTGTCCAGTTCATAAAGGTCTTAGAGAACAGTATCTACGTATATATAAGTATATAACACAATGTTCTTTACAATCATTTGTAAAGTTTATGTCTTCACAAAGAAGTCTATAAAAGTTACTAGTGTTTGTCCTTAAAACCCTCAATGGACTAAAAGCCCAAGGGGAACAACACCTGACTGAAAAGTTGGGTGTGGTACAAAACTCGAGCTTTCAGAATCATGGACAATAGGCAGAGTGCATAAACAATCACTCACGTTCAATAACAAGTCATTTGTAGCGTGTGTGACCACCAAATGCCTCAATACACGCAAAAACTCTTCGACGCACGGAAAAAGTCAGCAGTCTGATGAGGTCACGTGGTTTCTGACGCCATTCTTCTTGGAGGGCCAAGATCAGTTATTGCCGGTTGGCTGGAGAGTGTGGTCGTTGTCGAACACGATGATCCATCAAGTCCCAGAGGTGTTCTATGGGGGACATGTCGGGTGAGCGTGAAGGCCACGGCAGGACGTTGACGTTGTTGGCTGCGAGGAAGTTAGTGACAATTCTGGCTGTATGGGCTCTAGCGTTGTCATGCTGATAAATGACACCAAGTGGCTGCTGTTTGAGAAATGGTAGGACAACTGGACGAAGAATGTTATCCATGTAACGCTGAGCTGTCAAATT